AGTCAAATTTGTTTTGCTTCTGTCTCTTTCTTTGCCTGAACTTCATTATCCTTAATTTATGGACATGAGTGTAATATCCATTTGACTTAAACTTATAGTGTATATCATAATATCACTCGTTATTTTAGTTAGTAGAATATATATGATGGAAAAAGAAGGTGCTTTCCTTATCTAACTCTTTTGTCGGTGAATTTTAGTAAGAGAACTCCGGCAATAAATGCTTGGGTTCTCGGTGATTACTATACAGAACTTTGTACTTGTCATGCACTAATATGCATGCTTTATTTTCTATGCATGGTTATGCTCTCTTTCTCAGAAAATATTTTGCAATACAGCTACAGCAGTTCCCAAAAAGTAAAACCAATTTTTAATTTAAATTTCCAGGGCATATGGAATTTTAATTTTTTTTTTTTTTTATGTTGTTGGACCTGTCTTTGACATCTGTGGGAAATTTCACGTCAAAATATTCATTAGTGTTTGAGTTACGCTTGGCTTTGTTGACGCTAAAACTGATTCCGGGGATTTTTAAAATGTCTGAGTTAACTGAGCAAAGAACCGGCATTAGATTTTGAATAATCGTGTGCGGAAACGAATAAAATGGCGAAGAAGGCATACGGTGAGCAAACTATATCGGAAAGAAAGGTTTACAAGTGGTATAAACAGTTCAAATAAGGCAAAGAACGTTGAAGACGAAGAGAGCTCTGGTCGCCCATCAACCTCAACCGATGAAGCGTACATCCAAAAAATTAAAGATTTGGTGCTTGAAAACTGTCGATTTACAATTAGAGACCTCGCTGCTGATGTTGGAATTACAAAAGGATCAGTCAATTTTGGGCCTCAAACGCGTCAAATCTCGATTAATACCGAAAACGCTGAATCCACCAGGTCACACTACATTGATTCTTCGGGCCTTTTTCGCTAAAAATGAAACCCATATAATTTCACAAAAACCGTATTCACACCGTGCGACTTCTGGCTATTCCCTGAACTCAAAAGACCACACCGGGGCCATCGTTTTGAGTGAATTGAATAGATTCAACGTGAATCGCCAAGCGATTTGAAGGTTATTCCTGCCGATGACTTTTTAGCATGCATTGAGGATTGGAAAAGTGCATTGTGTCCGGAGGGGATGACTTTGAAGGCGATGAAATAAATTTGGAAGAATAAATAAAAAGCTGTATTATTTTTGAAAAAAAATAAAGGTTTTTACTTTTTGGGCGCAGTAGCATGCTTTAGAATGCGGGTAATTTATATTATATAACAGGTAATTAATATATGATATTCTGCTTATATTCAATAGAGGTAATTTATATTCTATATTAAAGATATTTATTTGTTTTTGCCCTTCTATAGTTACTTCTCTACAAAATTGCAAGTGGAATGACCTTGATAGGGTTTCAAGCAATCTTATTCAAACCTATGTTTCAAATCTATCCAATTAAAAATGATTTCCATCTGCATTAAGGTATTCCTTTCTGACTCTATTGACATATACTTTGATATTACAGCAAACGTTATTATTTCTGTTCCAGAGAAACACATAATATGATGCAACAGAAATAAATATAAACTATAGCAGGATACCTACATATTTTATGCTAATGAGAATATGCGATACAAATCGTTATGTTGCAAACTGCATTAATAAAACAAACATGGATTATTGAGTTATGAATCTTTGAAGAAGACGATTCTCCTAGTGTCGCGTAACTTTATAGCGTGTTTACTTTACAGATGTTTCTGTTATTTTATTCCACGATAAATCACTTCCCTCCATGCATTTCAAAACGAAAAGAAGTGCTTTCATTAATTATATTTATTCTGTTTATGAATTTGTTAAGACAATTAAGAATTACAGATTTATTCATTTTACTCAGTACTAAAAAAACTTGATTCAGATAATGTTAATTTTTAAAAAATATATATATAGTAAGAGAACTTTAAACAAGAAAACTAATTTAGCAAATATAAAAAAAGTATGGCACAAGAAATACCAGGTTTCTTAAAGTATTGGTAGAGAACATTAAAAAGTATTTTCTGCCATTATTCACATGTAAGTACCTTATCCAAAAACATTATATTTAGCTCTCTTTAATTTCGACAACTTATTCCAATCAACACTGCTAATGCAGCAAATTTTTGGATTTTTCCAGATATCTTAATTTACACTACAGTTTAACACTAGAAGGAGATTTTTCTCAGATTGTATCGAGTAGGATAAAGATATCGTTCAAATGTTTAAATGGCACACACAATTGTAGACTTTAAGTCTAAAATTGGATTTTTTTATTTCTTCCAAATGCTGCGAAATGTATGCGAGGTTAATAGCAGCACAAGGAATGGTGTCGTTTCCGAATGAATCGAGGCACGCCAGAAGTGAAGAGGCAAGATGCACAATTTTGTGCCACCACCCTTTAGATCGACTGCTCTCCAAGGATGTCCCTCCCATCATCTGCCAACACTATTGGATCATTTTTCGCTTCTAGTGATTTATCATATTCACATATCTAACCAGACCTATGAGCCACATTTCGCATGTTACCGTTTCATGTATCCCGGCACCCTAAACCCAGATTGCAATGTGGTCAAACTGAAAAACTATATTCCGAAATTTGGTTATTTCAATTTTTGTTTAGTTTTTAGAATGCTTCCATTTGAAAGTGAACATTTAAATCAAATCAGAAATTTTGCAACACAAAATTGCCAATTTTAAACTAGTGATATTTAAATTAAAGGAACAGGAATAAGCATCCACACATGAAATTTGAACTTGTTTTTCTTATAAAAAAATGCTAATATCCAATTGACTTAAACTTATAGTGTATATCATAATATTACTCTTTATTTTAGTTAGCAGAATATATATGATGGAAAAAGAAGGTGAATTTTAGTAAGAGAACATCAGGCAATAAATGCTTCGGTTCTCGGTGTTTGATATACATAACTTTTACTTGTCATGCACTAATATGTATATATACTTTATTTTCTCTATAAGGTTATGTTCTCTTTCACACAACGTATTTTGAAATATAACTACAACTGGAAAAAAAGTTGGCACAAGTGCATTGTGTCCGGAGGGGATGACTTTGAAGGTGATGAAATAAATGTGGAAGAATAAATAAAAAGCTTTTGAAAAAAAAAATAAAGGGTTTTACTTTTTGGTCACAGTAGTATGCTTTAGAATGCGGGTAATGTATATTATATAACAGGTAATTAATATGTGATATTCTGCTTATATTTTCAACACAGGTAATTTATACTCTATATTAAAGATATTTATTTGTTTTTGCCCTTCTATAGTTACTCCTCTACAAAATTGCAAGGGGAACGACCTTTTAGGGTTTCAAGTAATCTTATTCAAACCTATTTTTCAAATCTATCCAATTAAAAATGATTTCCATCTGCATTAAGGTATTCCTTTCTTACTCTATTGACATATACCTACTTTGATATGACAGCAAACATTACTATTTCTGTTCTAGAGAAACACATAATATGATGCAACTGAAATAAATATAAACTATAGTAGGATACCTACATATTTTATGCTAATGAGAATATGCGATAAAAATGGATAAATGGCACCTATAATTGTAGATATTAAGCCTAAAATTTGATTTTTTTATTTTTTCCAAATGCAGCGAAATTTATGCGAGGTTAATAGCAGCGTCAGGAATGGTGTAGTTTCCGAATGAATCGAGGCACGCCAGAAATGAAGAGGCGAAATGCACCCATTTTGCGCCACCACCCTTTAGATCGACGGCTCTCCAGAGACGTCCCTCCCGTCATCTGCCAACACTATTGGATCATTCTCCGTTTCTAGTGATTCATCATATTCACATAACTAACCGCAACTATGAGCCACATTTCGCCTGTTCCTGCTTTATGTATCACCGCACCCTAAACCTAGATTGCTATGTGGGCAAACTGCCAAATTATAATCTTAAGTTTGGTTATTTTTGGCAATAATTAAGTTTCAAATTATTTAATTATTTAAAACATAATAATTAATAACTTAATTATTATTTAGTTTATAATTTATTTAGTTTTTAGAATGTATCCCTTTGAAAGTGAACATTTAAATCAAATAAAAATTTTTGTGATTCAAAATTTTATATTTAAAGTCAGTCATATTTAAATTAAATGAACATGAATAAGCATCCCCACATGAAATGTGAACCGGTTTTACCTATAAAGGAAGGCTAATATTCATTCAACTTAAACGTATAATATATATCATAATATCAATCTTTCATTTTTGCTAGTAGAATATAAATTATGAAATAAGATAAGGTTTTTCTGATGAAATAACACTCTTCGACTCTGTTTTAGAAGAGAACGGGAGGCTCTATAATGCTTCGGTTCTCGGTGATGATTACTATCCAGAACATTTTACTTGTCATATATACTTAATTTTATTTTCCTAGGCTATGGTTTTGTTTCTGCAAATTGTTGTGAAATTCAACTATGTCAAAACGAAGCGCCTTGTGTGGTGCTTTCTTATAGCAGACATTTCTTCTGTAAAAACGAATAATCCATTGTCTCAACTTAATAAATAATAACTTAATAAACTTAACTAAATGAATCCGTAATAAATAATATTAAGGAAAAACGCTGCATTTCCTACAAACAATGAGTTTTTGTTTATTCAATCGGACTTTTGCCTCAGGTTATTAAGTGGAACTCTCGTCTGAACAACTTAAAAGGCGTGTTATTCGTTCGTGTACAGACACTTTTCCACATCTGCACTTGACCATTTTGTTTATTCCATTCCTACGGAGAGTGCTGAAAATGTATGTGTGTCCGACACCAAACTTCTCCGTCCTTTATGTGATGTCAGACGTTGATGAACTTCAACAGAGGCGCAGAAACGATCCTTGTAAATCAGTGACGGTCGACAAGTATTTGATTAATCACGAAGAAAAAGTGGCCAGCATGAAGTCTTTAACCAAGCTTGAGGCCTTCGAAACCCCTTATGTCTTTCATAAATGCTTTATGCCAACGGCCGTACCACGCTGAATATACCGGTTCTCGTTAGATCACCGAAGTCAAGCATCATTGGGCGCGGTCAGTACTTGGGTGGGGGAACACCGAGTGCCGTTGGCAAATTTGGGACCTGAATGGCCGAGTGTCTAGCGCTCTGGCGCTCGGTGCCACAAGTTTCGGGTTCGAATCCCGGCGGTGCCATGGATGTTTGTAGTGGTTCGGAATCCACTTTAAGCCGTAGGTCCCGGTCTTCTATGACTGTAAGAGCGTCACGGAGCAAAAGTCAGGCTTCTACCTACGGGTGCTCCATCGCAACAGAAGCTGCTTCTTTCCCCTTCAACCATGAGTACGTATGGGCTCGTGGGCTTGGCCAGCCAAGTGGGATAAGAAACAACAACAACATAAATGCTTTATGGATAGGAAGTGGTGTGTGGCTAACGTTCAAGTTGGACTTGTAATCATCCGGTAACAGAGAATTTTGCCATTTCCGATCCCAAGACAGATATATCAACAGTCATCAGAAATTTTAGATATCGTACGAAGTTCCTTAATGAGAAAAGCAGTCAATTCAGAATTCAATCTATTCAAATAAAAATCAATATGTAAAGGATAGTATACGAAAGGTTTTGCCGGAACTTTGTTTCCATCCTTACGCATTCTAAACCTCTTATAAGAGATTATAAATAGAATTTTTGTCAAGAAAACACAATGATTTACTGTTGGATTAATTATTTTTACGTTATTTTTAAATACCTTTTAACACAAGATACTTCATTCAGGTTAATAAAAATTATCAAATATATCGAATTATGGAATAAGTCCTATTTTCAAACCACTTTTGAACAAAAATTGTAAGAAATTCTTAAAAATTAAATTTTTATTCCCGAAACATATATCAAGATATTACATTCATTTTTTCATGGTCGTGGGGATTGCATATTGGATATCGGATATCAGCGGAAGTGTGTTTCATCTCTTCTTCAAAGCGATTGTTTCCGAGTGTTTATTCTCTTTGGCGATGGCTGACGGCATGGACACATCGAGCGCTGACGGGCAGAGTCCTTTTCAGGGCCCCCTGACGCCGGACGATCCCGCAAGTCTGCAATCATCGGAGCATATCTGCAAGCGCCTGCAACAAATGGCTAATGAAAAAGCTGCTGCTGAAAAGTCCCTCTCCCTGCACCTGACGTACCTGAACGATCCGGACATCCAAGCAGATCCTGTGGTCCTCCAAAGTATAGAAAACATCGTGCGACGCACCAGCAGCAAAGCGGATTTCATTGACGACCAGGTAAGACTCTTAGGTTCTTGCCCAGTATTAAATTGCAACGTCCACTATAGTAATTTCTCTAGTAATGTTAATTTAAATTCTACAAATCTAAGCAACTCAAAACGGGCAAGTGATTGCGTTAACGACGGATTTCAGTATCCAACCAAAAGGAACACGGCGAAACCTGTTATTCTTAATTCCACTACCATACCTATTTCTCAAAATAAATTTTCCAATCTGCAAAATATTCCTTCTGATGACGATAATATCACCCCTATTATTACTAAAATTCCACCTGTTATGGTGCGACAAAAGGACGACCTTAAAAAACAATTAAAACTTATAAATGATTCTTTCCCAGATACAAAAATAACCCTTTCCGGAGAACTGTTAAAAATCTTTCCCAAAGACTCAGATGAGCATAGACATATTACAGCTTTTCTCAATAAAAACGCAATGGATTATTTCATCATTACTCCCAAAAATGAAAGGCCTATTAAGGCGGTCATTAAGGGACTTCCTAAAAATACTAATGTGACTGACATTGAAGAAGCTCTTCAAGAATTAAATTATATCGAATGCAAAGTTACGCAGCTGACAAATTTAAAAACTAAAGCTCCGATAGCAGTTTGGCAGGTCGTCCTCTCTCGCTCTAAGCATAACGAAAAAATTTTTGAACTATCTAAACTCCTATACTTGTCCATCAAAGTTGAAAAATTTAACCGCAGGCCTGGTACGACGCAATGCTATAATTGCAATCATTTCCATCACAGTTCTGCAAACTGTCATAGCACCCCGAGATGCTTAAAATGTGGTAAAGCCCATATTACTAAAGATTGCAATATCACTAACAGGTTGAAGAATCCCACTTGTATCAACTGCGGTCAATCTGGCCATCTCGCCGCGTGGCGCGGGTGCCCTAAATTTCCGAAATCCAGAATCCCACCACAAAATCCTGCCAATTCCTGTAATTCCGTTCCTACCCGCAATATCACCCCTAACCTATCTTTCGCCCGCATAGTCTCCGGTAATATCTCACCCCAACAGGCTTCTGCTCAAACTACTAATCTTCCTCAAGTAAATCCGCTAACTGATTCTTGCAGCACTGAAATTATTCAACTCCTATACATTCTAAAAGAATTTGCTAATCTTTTCAATAAAGAAAATATCCACGTGTTATACAATGGGCTTAAAAACGCACAAAGTAATGACGAAAAATTCACCATATTGATTAATGGATTTTCCAAATTTTTTATTACTAATAATTAATTATCTGTTCCCTTTGCCGGACTATTGCAAACAATTCCTTAATTTATTCAAAAGCTTGCCCATAACTTTTACTGGAATCTTCCTAATATTCAATACGATTTAATAAAAAGGCTCCCAGATTATGGCATCCAAAACCCCAAAAAAGGCTAAACGTCCTCGAACCTCTCTCATAATTGATTCCACTTCCCACCCCTGACTTGTTCCCATCTTATTTTACCCAATGCGTTTTCGCAATCATTTCTCCTTACGTTGTACTTCTTTTTATTTTTTAGATTAATTCTATCTGTTTACTTGTTTTTTTTTTTTTTTTTTTTTTTTTTTTCTCGAACCTTTTTCTTCAACTCTGCTTATTAATTATTTTTATTTTTATATGTTTTATTAATTATTTTTTACTTTATTTTTATATTTGTTTATATATTAAATATAATGAAAGAATAAAAATGAATAAATAAAAACCTTCCTCGATTTGTTTAGATTACTTCAAAACTTTATGTGTTCTTTTAATTCTTTTATATATATGTATATCTGGGCAAGTCACCTATTAGTCTTTACCTGCTTTGTTTTACAATGTATTTTCTCATAACTTCAAAGGACTCCAACTCAAGATAGAAGCTAGCGGCTGCTTCGCAGCCAAGGTGCTTCGCACCAACACATATCATCATCAAGATATTATATATTTTGAAAATTTCTAATTTATTTTTTATTGGATTTGCAACAGAAAGAAGATGTAGAAATCATTCTAGTTATCAGAATCACCAATTGCCTTTGATTACATATAATGCTTTATAGCGTTATGCTTTATAGGAAAATATTATACAAACAAGAGATTGTTTCTCCGTTAGATATAAAAGAAAGTTTTATTTACGTTTTTATGGTGCTATGTACACACAATCCCTGAGCCCGCATGAACCCTACTGACCAATCCAAACAAAAACTTAATCTGATGTCACCTGCAAGTACGCCATCTATATTTACAAATTTTCTTTACACCTTACAGGAAAATCCATTTCTACGGTGGGGGCAACAAGTATAAACACATCCGCAAGTGACAGGCAGATAGATTCGCCTCGTTTGCTATTTCTAATAACAAAACACGATAAATGCGGGGCCTGATGGCTGAGTGGCTAGCGCTCTAGCGATCAGTACCACAGGGTTCGAGTCCCGGCGGTGCCGTTGATGTTTGTAGTGGTTCGGAATCCACTTTAAACCGTAGGTCTCGGTCTAATAGGATCGTAGAGCGTTGCGGGGGCATTGTTACTCCACGTCCGCGGCTTATCTTCAAGCACCCACTGGGTAGTGCTAAGTGAGTAATGTCTTACAACCCTTGCAAAAGTATTTACCAGCTGCATTAAAAAAAAAAAACATGATAAATTTTTCCCTATTCATCACAATTAAAGTAATACTACTACAAAATATAGTAAACAACAAAGGTAATAAAAATATGGTGTATCGTTTAATTGATATTTTATGCTTAATTAATTATTTTAAATTTTTATAATGTTAGTTCCTGCACATGTATATATTAATCGGTGTTTAAAACTTAAAGAATAACCGAGTTTTCTTTTTTAGTAACTACGTAACACATCACATGAAAAACGCAAATTTCAGAATACAGACACAGTCATTACGTTATACATTAAAGAAGAATGAATCCTGGGAACACGAAAATGAATAAACATATTGATTATCAATATTGTTCGGATGACATATATATTCTAATGCAACTGGTAAACACTTAGACAGTCATTTTTCTTTCTTTCTAATGCAGCTGGCACTTAGACATCTTGGTCTTGTATGCGTTAAGGCAAGCTCTGCACAGACGTTACTCACTTTGCATTACCCAGGGGGCGCGTGTAACTTGAAGATAAGCCGCGGAAGCGGAGTAACAATGCCCCCGCAACGCTCTACGATCCTATTAGACCGGGACCTACGGTTTAAAGAATATTCCGAACCACTACAAACACCCACGGCACCGCCGGGATTCGAACCCGAAACCTGTGATACCGAGCACCAGAGCGCTAGCCACTCGGCTATTCAGGCCCCGCTTAGACAGTCATATTTATGCCATAAGCAAAGGCTGCACTGGCGTTACTCATTTATCACTGACCAGGGCGCTCGTATAGCCTGAAGATAGACGCGTGAAAGATTGCGGATTTTAGAGTAACACTACCCCCGCAACGCTCTACGATCCTGTTCGACTGGGACCTACGATTTAAAGTGGATTCTGAACCACTACAAACACCCATGGCTGGACAAGAACCCGAACATATATGTATATATGCATAAGTTGCTTTTGAATGCGCTAAGTATAGGAATATTTATTGATTTTTAATTCTGTATTCTTAACGTGCTTGAATAATTAACTCCAGTAGTTTATGCGGATCAAATGATAGTAATAAAACATTTTTTACAGAACAAAAATATAGAAAATAGACACGAAAACGAAAAGAACGTATAAACCGCTCATACAAAACACATATCTTTTTAAAACAAATAACATCCATCCTAGTTATCAGGATAGACATTCTAGAAATCAACAATTTTACCAATCGGAGTACCTTGTGCCC